ACATTTCTCCTCAGCGAGGCTGATGGACGTGGCACCAATGAGTGGTCATAGTTGGACAGACCCAGTTTTCTTTAAAGAGAGACAACGTGGACAAGGAAGAAACTGGACTTGACAAGCAAGCAGGAGGTCGTCTTCCTGGGAGGTGGAAGGAGTCTCCAGAAACCTAAAGGGAGGCTGTGGGGGTGCAGGGGTGCCCCAGAGGTGGATGAGGGGTTGCTGAGCCTAACAGGGGAGCCTCCTAAGGAAAGTGTCAGTTCATGCTCAAGTGTTCCTGGTTAGGGGAAGACAAGACACACTCAGCAAAGAGTGATGGAAACAGGCAGGAGAAAACAGAGACAGACATGAAAATATCATGGCAGAGTCAGGAGACAGGCAGACCAGGTGAGAGAGACACACAGTAATAAAAAGATGAAATGAAACAGAAATCAAAAGGGACCGAGATAGATGTAGTGGGGAATGAGATGAGGTGTGAGAGAACAATGGAGAGGTAGAGAGTGAGAGAAAAACAGGGAGACAGGAGGAAGGGAGCAGACGGAACTGTTCAGCAAAGAACAATCTCAGGTGGTCCAGGCACACCCCCAATCCAAGACCTCACAGTACTGGGTCCCTATTCACCAACGTTCCCTTCCTGGGCTGCCCAATTGAAGCTCCTGCCCTAGGATGGGGAGAGGGCTTCACCTGGGCGGGCGAGCCAGGAGTCCCTCTCTCAGAAAAGATCCATTCTGAGGGACGCTAGACATGATAAGTGACCTTAACTCAGGCGCCCTCTTCCAACCTGGATGACGTTCTCACCATTGTGTTGTAGAGTCTCCACCGCCCCCTTCCTGCTGGCTCCCTCCCACCTGCCCCTCATAAACTCTTGATTATTTATTTCTTTTTCCCCCCAAATTTATTTATTTCCTTATTTTCTTACACTTTTCTTCATTTTTGGACACTATTTGATTTCTCCACTCTGGTGTGGTCCCTGTAGTGCTCCCACCACCACAGCCCCCCCCCCCACCTCCCCTTCTATATGCCTCAGGTCTAGGGCGAGCTTGCAAGTAATGGCTTTTTTTTTTTTTTGAGCTTTTGTTCTGTTCCTCTGTATGCCACACAGAAGTGAAATCATTCGATGCTTATTTTTTTCCTTCTGACTTACGTTGCTTAGCATAATCCCTTCCAGCTCCATCCTGGATTATTTCTTGACATCTACTTTTCAGAGCATCCAAACTAACCCACCCGCCTATTTGTTTTGGTTTGAATTATTCAGGCAATGAAGGGAAAGGAAGGGGTTGGGGAGAGAATATGGGGTGGGGGAAATGCTGCTTCCCTAATAGAGATTACCATCCAATGAAGGTGGTAACTAGACGCCAGTAGACACATTAAAAATAGGGAGGTTGGGCCTCCCTGGTGGCTCAGGCGATTGAGGGCTGCGCTGTAAAGCCGTTCGCAGCCTCTGCGGTGCGGGTTTGATCCCAGCCAGCCGGTGAGAATCCCACATGGCGCGGCAGACCTTTCCTGTCTTGCCCGCTGCTCCCCTCAGCAGTGAATTTCATCAGTCTGCCTGTTCTGCTCCCCACTCTGTCTCCGGTGAGTCCTCTCACCCTCCCATGCATCTGGCCTGTACCCCAGCTCTTGTATAAATAAAATAAATCTTTGGGGAAAAAAAGAGGGCGGTCCCCTCTTTATGTCAGTGATAATATCACCATGTACCTAAAAGTTTATCCCTTGAACAATGTAAGTTATGGTGAAAAATATTTTATGTCAACTGTAAAGGCAGGACTGGACACAGTGCAGGTTCTCTGATCCCATGCAGACCGGGTAAAGGAGGAGTCAGAGTCCTCAGTGGTTTTGCAGGTCTTTTATTGGGGTTCACCAGGCATATGGCAGGCAGGGGTGCTGGGAGGCCGGGAGGCTGGCAGTCCTCCCAGCCCCCAGCAAATCCTCACTCTATCTGGGCTCTCTGGCCTTCTCTGCTTCTGCTGCTGCTTCTTTCGGCTTCTACTTCTGCTGCTGGCGTCCCCATGACGCCGCCCTTAAAAAAGCACAGTCTTAGCTCAGCTGAATCCCATTTACCTATGCCCACACCCTACTCCAGGTGCCCGCCATCAGGCATGCATTCAGGACAAGGATCCAACATCTATCCTGATGGCGGAAGGGCAGAAAAGCCTGATATTTTCTTTACCCTACCTACATCAACATAAAACATTCCAGGGAATAAACAGTTTTCAAAAATGTGTTTAAGATGTACATGTCTAGGAAAAATTCCTGTGTGTTCCCTAATCAAGACAACATCACAAAGTGAGAAAATTCGAGGCTAAATTATTATTAATTATATGATCGATTAAGCCCCTACCCCAGCTAAAATTCAGGATGGCTAAACTGAGTGGCAGACAGGACTGCCTTTTCCTGACCCAGGATGAGCTCAACATTAGACCAGAAACTAGCTTTACTCTATGCCCACCCCATTCCAACCAAAATCCCAAACAAGTCTCAGACAGTACAACCTCGGTGGAAAACCCACCAGCACCAGTGCAGAGAACATAGCAAAAACCCTTGCTCTCCCATCCCAGGACACTGTGTGCGCCTTTCCGAGGATCCCAGCAAGCCCCTGAAATCTGAGCAAGAGAATCTGTGCGTCAGGAGATGTTGAAATCAAGACACATCAAAAGAAAAAAAGCACAGGAATGGGTCAGAACTGAAAGTGAGCAGGTAATTTCAACCTTTTCACAGAATCTAAAGAATGACCCAAAAGCCTGAAAACAGAGAGAGAGAGAGAGAGAGAGAGAGAGATTCAACAATCAGACTTCGACGCACTTTTAAAGATCTAACACTTTATTTCTTTGTGTTGTTTTCATATTAATAAGCATTGAACTCCAGGGAAAAGGAAGTCTTTGGGTGAAGAACACATGGAAACACTGGAGGGCAGTTATTCAAGTCTAAGCCTGTAGCACCAGTGTCTTCTCCGGCTTGGTGAAGACGCGATTCTACCTGGAGAGAGAAGAGAGAATCAGAGGCCTGGGGAGGTGCACAACTTTGGGGGGACTGGGCCCCAAGACCACCTTGCCTGAGTCCTGCCAGGGGCTCTCCCCCCAAGAGCACCAGGCCTTCTGCCAAGGAACCAGCCAAGCCATCCTGAAGAATTACAATCTTATCATCTAAGCCTTATCATCTTACCTCCTAATCTAAATGTAGAGAGAAGTGTGATCGGTGATCACAGACTGTGAGGCAAAACTGACAAAACAGAAAACGGTCATAACAAAAATTCAGTCTCAAGAGTGTAAGCCTCAAAGGCCGGGTCATTGCAAGGGGAAGGGGACCCCTACGACCGCAAAGAAGAACATATTCCGAGCTAGGGGGCCTGCTGGACCCTCTTCACGCCCTCGAGGCGAATTTCAGGGCCGATCTCAACGGAAGAGCTCCGATCTCAGGGCCCTCCGAGAGCACCAACTGCTCTCAACCGTCTCGGCCCGTGGGCTCCGGAACCGAGTCTGGGGCGTCTCACCTCAATTCAGAGTGTCCCAGGGGTCCACGCACTGCTGTTTACAGTTGAAGAAGCAGCACTTCTTGGTGTCCTTGCAACTTTGGTCTCGCCAGCAGGAAGGTAAGCGGATGAAGGGGCAGGCCAGCGTGAACTCGGGGCAGAATCCAGGTTTCTCTAACGCTGCGGAGAGACGCCTCGGGGTGAGCCGGACCCAGCGCGTCCTTGGGGGCGTCAGGGCAGGCTGGGCCCCTGGGCCGCTCCGAGGAAAGCACCCCCACGCCCCGGGACCGCCGCACCCTACACTTCTTCCATGGGAATCCAGCCTGCGCCTCGTGGGGGCAGAGGACGAGGAAGACCGTCGCCAGAACAGAGAGGCCGCTCCGCTCCATCCCGCCGACACGCGCCAGGTGAACGTGGAGGCGCCACCTGTTCACACGGAAAGCGCCTCCGGCGGGGCGGCCAGCAGGGGGCGCCGCGGCTCCCAGCGCCAGGTGGCAGGTGCCCGGCCCTCGCTCCGCGGTCACCCCCGACCTCCGCGGTCACCCCGCCCGCACCCCCGCGCCGCGGGCGGGAGGTGCTGTCACAGCCTCTGCACCAGCGCCTCTGAGAGCCCACAGAGGCCCCTCCTTTTCCACGGGGCGTCAGGGCTGGCCTGGCGTTAATAATTCCGGTGGGTCTCGAGGCAGGGCAGGGGATTATTGTCTTCCCGGGCGGGTCTGAGTGTTCAGAGCCATTTACACCCCGCGGCTCCTGGCGGATTTCAGACATGCGTGCATTTGATGAATTTACTTTTTTTTACATATATAAAATTTTTAAAAGATTTATTTATTTATTTATGCAAGCACTGGGTACAGGCAGAAGCGCGGGAGGGTGAGAGGATTCACCAGAGCCAGAGCGGGGAGCAGAACAGGCAGACTGACGAAGTACACTGCTGAGGGGAGCAGCGGGCGAGACAGGAGAGGTCTGCTGCGCCATGTGGGTATCTCCCTGGCTGGCCAGGGATCAAACTCGTGCTGCAGAGAGCTTCATAGGTTGTGTCTTAACCCCTTATGCCACCAAGGAGGCCCTAACTCCTGTCTTCAATGTGTCCGGGACTTTATAGGAACTGCACTGGGTGAGGAGCTCAGAAGTCTGACTTGAGCTCTGTCTGTGCTCCTGTAAAGTATGTGTTGCTCCTGCTTGCTCAGTGGCCCAGAACATACCGGTTTTACGCAAAGGTTAGAAACAGATTCCTGCATGCGGGCGGGAGAACTGGCCCCAGAGCTGGAGGGAGAGATGCTGAGGAAGGAGCTCCTGGGATCACCCTCCCTGTCCTTGGTTTCTGGTGCACCTTGTAGCTCCTCCTAGTGGCTTTTGTTTTGTTTTTATTGTTCCACTGCACCTGTGCCGCTTTCTACTCACGCTAGCTCGGCTTTTCCTCTGTGAGTTCCAGCCCAAACTTAGGAGAACAAATTTTCAGTTGGTTTTACAGGCCCATCATATAACTTTTCTGCACTTTTATTCTTCGGATATCATATCTATTTGCAGTTCCACCATCCACTTGTGGTCTTTCTGTTTTCAAAGAACTTTGATATTCACTGAAATTTCATGACACCAAAATATGGTAAGGATAGTATATGCAGAAAAACAATAAGAATAGGACAATCTTGCTTTAAAAAAAAAGGCAAAATTCCTAAACAAAATATTAGCCAATGAATTTTTGTCATATATAAAAGTGCTATAGCATGAACACGTGAAGTCATTTCAAAAAGCGTGTTGTTGGTCTAACATTCAAAATCGATCAATGGAATGCTAGAGAAAGGAAAAAATCACATGATCATCTTCCCAGCAGTACAGTATGTGAAAAAACACATCAAGAGACTAAAGATACAGGGTTAGGAGTTCATTTATTTGGTCTGATAACAAATTCCTATAAAAACCCTACCACAGAGGGACCCACTTTCAGAAAAAAAACTTCTTTACAAAATCTATTGCCTGGGGCTGGGGAGAGGTGGAGATGCAGATGTTACATCATCGAGTATTGGGTTACTTTATAGAGTAATGGAAATGTTCTGGAGTTAAATAGTAGTGATGGTTGCACGCTCTTGCCAAAATACTAAAAATCAGTACAATGTACACCTTAAAAGGTAAGTATTAGGGCATGTGAATTATAGCTCTAAAAAATAGTTAATGCATAATTAGATGCAAATTAAAAACATTCACTTTGATTCCTGGCCTATGAAACTTAAGTTCCCACTTTTGATTATGTAAATAAAGTTTATTAGACTATAAGCACACCCCTTTGTTTAAGTGTTGTCTATGGTTGCTTTTGTTCTACAGTAGTAGAGACAAGGAATTGTGATTAAGATCTCAAGGCCCATAAAACCAAAAAATATTTACTGTCTACCTCTTTACATAAAAGCAATTGGCTCCCAGGTTAGAGCAATCAAATCTGTAATTTAAAACTTATGCAAGAAGAAAATTGCTAGTCTCTCAACTTTGCAGGCACATTCTATCATCAAATGTATATATACTATATATTTAACACACACCTTTTAAGAAAACAGAGAGAAAACTTCCCAACTTGTTTTATGAGACTGGGATAATGCTGATATTAAAATCTGGGAAAGATAGTACCAAAAAAATTAAAGTTTAATATCCATCATAAGCAGAGGCACAAAAATCTTTAACAAAATATTCACCAATTGAACCCAACACATATTAAATGGATAAAACATTAAAACCAAGTGGGGTATATTCCAGGATATGGCTCACTTCATAAATAAAAAGCTGAGGCTCAGAGAGGTTGGGTGATTAAACACAAATCATAAAACCTGGGGTCTGGTGTTTAGACTCCACTACAACTCAGCCCCCGAGCTCTGCATCCTACCACTTAACATCAAGGTGTTTGCTGTTGCCTTGATTATAACTGCAAAACATTGGAACTGGGAAAACAGGTCAAGTGTTCACAAACAGGATGGATGGGCTACTATGGAGTTATTTAAACACCCACATGGAGAGAGGTCCAGAAGTCATGTTAAATAAAAAATCAAATCACAAAATAGGAGAGCCGGTATGGTCCTTCAGATGTAAAATATACATGGTGACAAGTGAGAGCCCCTCCCATCTCTATGCCCTGGTTGCCTCCTGAGGTGGACACACCAGTGGCCAGCAAGAGTCAGCCACCAGCCCCCACCTCACCCCTGGCCAATAGCGTATGGGTCTTAAGGATCTTTTCCTAAATGCGCCACTTACCTGGCCAAGCGCACCAGGCAGAGGGTGAGAAAGTGGCTGACTTCACGGTCAGTGGTTGGGTGTCTGGGCAGGAGCTGGGGGGCTGGAACATGTAGCCCATGAAGATGGGGCCCTCGTCCTTCGGGTTGAGGGAAGTAAATTTCTTTGTAATACTCGGAAGGAGACTCACCCTTGACAATGGCTGTGGCACCAGAGGAACTGGACTTCTTGCCTGGAGGCAGTGCCACTCACCTTGGAGAGGATTTGGGGGCTATTGAGCAAGTCCTCTAAGGCAGCACTTCAGCCACATCCGGAATGTCAGACCCCAGTTTCATCTACCAAAGACCTTGTGATCTTGGACCAGTAAATGGCCGCTTTTTTTCAGTTTCTCTGTCTATAAAACAAGTGGACAAGTGGACTAGACAACAGGCCCCTCAGACCCCACACAGCTTCCTCCATGTCACTGTTATGGTTGCATCCGGAGTCTCCCAGCTGGTGTCTCCACATCCCAGGAGATGTGTTTGTTCACTAGTTTACTATTTGATTTGGGGGTTTGAGCTTATTGTTTTATATAAATTATATTAATATTTAAAAGATCAAATACACCGAACAGTCAGACAAGGAGCAAGCTCTCCGGGCTGGGGAAAAAGACGAAGCTGTGAGCAGTTAGAAATGCAGTTTCTCAGGTCCCACCTGCTGATCAGAACCTACAGTCAACAAGATTCCCAGGAAATTCACAGGAATAATAAACTTTGAGAAATGCTGTGGCTGCGTCTTGCGGCCCCTGGTGCAGACACAGAAGGCCCGGGAGGTGGCAGATGAAGCAATGCCCAGGATGAACCTCAGCTCCTCCCCTTCCTCACGCCCTCCTTATCACCTCAGTTTCACCCCCGGCTGGGCTCATGAAAAGCTGTCCCTCCCCAAGCCACCAAGATGAGCTCTGTCTCACCTCAGTGCTTTTGTCTGTAGGGTAAGGAAAAAATGTCAGGCTTTTCTGCCCTCCCGCCATCAGGATAGATGATGCCTGCGGTCCTGAATGCATGCCTGATGGCGGGCACCTGGAGTAGGGTGTGGGCATAGGCAGATGGGATTCACCTAGGCTGAGACTGGGCTTTTAAGGGCAGCATCATGGGGACGCCAGTAGAAGCCGAAAGAGAAACGAGAAGAAGCCAGGAACGAACGGAAGCCGAGAGAAGAAAAGAGAAGCAGAGAGAAGGCCAGAGAGCCCAGATAGAGTGAGGATTTGCTGGGGGCTGGGAGAACTGCCGGCCTCCCGGCCCCCCAGCACCCCTGCCTGCCATATGCCTGGAAAATCTAAATAAAAGACCTGTAAAAACTACTGAGGACTCTGACTCCTCCTTTACCCGGTCTGCAGGATCAGAAAAACTGCACTGTGTCCTGTTCCTTCCTGTCCCTACATTGTCCTTCTGACCTGCCTGGTGACTGTCACTCACTGTGAGAGAACCGATGGGTCTCCTCTGGGTAAGTCCTGGTGGGGCTCTCCTCTGCAGGCCAGGGCGGAACCAAGGCGAGTGTGTGGGAAGGGCTGGGGAAACAGCAGTGTTGGGGAACCCCAGTCTCTCTCTGTGCATTGCTCCTGGGAAGTCAGAACCCTTAATCTGGTAGTTTTCATGACTCTAAAAGTTCAATCACTATGTCCAGCTTTCAAAAAAAATTATTCTAACAGTTTTCAGGCAACTCTAGCAGGTCACAGACCCTACTTCTGGGGCTCTACTCCTGGTCTCTGCCTCTTTCCTGAACCTCACTCCAATGTAATAAAAGACAAATGTTTGGTCTTTGTACAGGTTCCTGGACTAGGCCTCCTAAAACTTCTGGAATCTACTTCTTCCTTGTCTGACAAGATCACTTAAGGCAGGGGCTGCTAGATGGTGTCAGCAGAGGCACCAGGTGGCTAGAGTTAGAACTTGCAAGCCTCCTGCTGCCTGGGTCGGGGGCAGGGAAACTGAGATTGAGTTCAATACAAATGGCCAATGAGTTTATCAATTATGCATGAGTAAGGAGCCCTCAATAAAACCCCTAAATGGGGCTTCAGAGAGAATACAAGAGGTACAGTGAGGTTGGTGTGCCCAGAAAGGGTGTGGGCCCCTACCCCTCCTTACACCAAATATCTCCATTTGGCTGTTCCTGAGTTTTTGCCTCAAGAGATGCAGAACAGGTGCCCCCAGTTATGCCCTTTGTTATGCAGATTATTATGACCAAAGAAAAATGTTACCTCTCCCCATGACCTAAAGAATTTAGACAGAGGGTCTGACCTGGGGCCAGACTGTTAAGGTATCGATAGATAACATGGCTTTTAATAAGCAAAAGGAGTATAATCTCAGGATATGTCATGAACATAAAAGAAAAAAAATGCCTGTAATTTTCCCTTGCAGTGGCATATATTTATGATATATAGTCAAATAAGAATGAAAAATGAGGGGGAAACAGTTAAGAGACTGTGTCTTGTTGAGAAGTGCAGGCATCGAGCTAAGCAGCCCTTCCTGCCAAGACACAGCTGGATCAGGGAAAGCTTTCTCCACTGGTTCTGCTCCCCCAAATATGTGGGTGGGCTGATGACTCTACCACCCACTGTCACCTCCACACCCAGTTTCCAGGGTAACCCGCACGGCTAGGCTCTGTGTACTCTCTTGCTAGGTCCTCCACCAACTCTTACTGGAGGCAAGATCTCAGCGTTACCTGCCTAGCACAGCCAGCTTCCTACCTGTGGGGAAGACAGGGTGACTTCCCACTGGTTTGAAAAGCATGTGCATAAGAGAGACCACTTTTATGGGAATGACCTATCTTCAGGGCCAAGCAAGCCCTGCCAAACATCACCCCTCACCAACATCTGCTCTGTGGCTCCTGTAGATACAAAACTAAATTTATTTTTCTCCTATCAATAGGTCCTTTACTACAAGAGGTATCTCAACCAAGACCCTAGAAAAGTAGAGGGAAGTTCATTTTTCTTCCCATACGTTATCCTTTATTCTTCAATGACTAAAGGTACACACTTATTTTAACTACTGAAAACATAGAAAGATGCATTTTAGGGGTTTCCCTGCAGGACATCTGTTTCTTCTAGAACCACCAAGCCTTTCTCCAGTTCTCTGCAGACACTGACCCTGTCACCCCAGGTTCCCCTCCCTGGGTTCGATTACTTTGCTAGAGCAGTGCATTGAGCTCAGAGAAATATTCTTTTACTATAAAAGGATATAACTCAGGAACAAGTTGCACAGGGCAACTTATGTGGAGAGGTGGGGAAACACCCATACCCCTCTCAGTGCTGGAAATCCCCCAATATCCATGCTGACCACCGCGGACGTGGTCAGGTTGGGGTGTGGTCTCAACATTTGGGGTAAGAAAAACCACGGGTAAATTGATTAAATAACTGGCCAGGAGTGATCGAGTTGGCTCCTCTCTCCTCCCAGGAGATTGGGCTGAACGTCCCAACCCTGTACCCAGCTCCTACAGTTATCAGCATAGACAGAAAAAACTTTATGTGTGTTCTCTATTTTTTCCTGGACTTATTTGAAATCAATCAAAGGCATCATATTAGCCAACCCATAAACACTGCTTTAAAGATATGCTCTTTCTTACGTTATCACCACGTTATTGTCACATCTAATATAATTAGCAACAGCGCCCCAGCAGGCCAGATGTCAAGCTGAGGTCTCACACCGCGACCCCCTCTTCGCCATGACCCCAATGCCAGACACGCTGCTTGTTTCAGTTTTTGCTCATAGAACAGCTGTTGAGGATCATGCTATAGCTGACCAGAAACTTCTGTGTCCTGATAGCCGCTCCGGCCTTCTGCTGAGATCCTCCCTACAAGGGCCCCTGCAAGGACTGGAAGTTGAGGTGGTTCTTCAATTCCGCGTCTGGGCTCTGCGAACTCTTTGTTTATGGAGGCTGCAAAGCAAAGAGGAGTCACTTCCTGAAGAAGGACAAGTGTCTCAACACCTGCAGCGTCATAGAACCCGAGCCCGAGAGAGAATCCCTGGAGGCCAGGATGGAACCAGGTCCGAATAGGCAGGGAGGGGAAGGGCTGGGGACAGCAGTCAGACTCGGAGGTCCCCACACCCCCACACAGTGTCTCTCCACCTCCTGCTTTCCCAGGAGGAGGTGGCAGCAGAGTCCTGGAGACCCCAGACTGAGCACATCCTCACTAGGCCATCTAGACAGAAGGTCATGGCTAGATGTGACCTCAAGGTCATCTGAACCATCCCACCTACTCCCCTTTTGCAGACAGGTGCATTGAGGCTGTGGCCCTGCTGGGTCTTCTGCCTGCCCCTGAGCCACCACTACCCAGGCTGGTCAAGTCATGGCCTTCTCGTTGTCATGCTGGTCATGGAGAGGACCATGGGGTGGTCTGAGACCACAGGGTGGTCTAAGAGTGTCCAGCTCAGGGGCTCGATGATGACAGCCAGCAATTTCCTTTCTAACAATTTCCCTTCTCATCGCAGAGAGCTTGGCATCCACATTGACCTGAGGTGCTGGCTTCTGGCAGGTCCCCCACGAGACCCCCTCTGACTGCTCACCTCCCAGCCCCGTCCTCAGCAGCAGCCTGCCTCTTTCTTCCTCCCCAGGATCTGCTTGTTTTCACTCTGTCTGTCCCAGTAGATTCTATGCCCCACCAGAGCAAGAACCATGTGCTTTGTTTATTTCCATCACTTTGCCCGAGTTCGATGCACGCATCGATATTTGTGGGATGAATGAGTGAATGAATGAATGAGCACATCTCTCCACTGGCCTGAATCTAAGGCTAGAAGTTTGAAGCCAGGACTCCAATCCTGACCCCATCCTCACCTTCATCCCACCCCACTACCCCTGGGTTCTTGGGGGGCGGCAGCAGTGAAATTTCTGGTATCAGGGGTGTTTTCACGAGACATGCTTTCCCCACAGTGATGTTTCACATTTCCCTGTCTGTGGCTTCAAACTCTATTGCTTTATATTTAAACAAATTATGTTCAAATTAAGCTAAACAAAGCGGATTCTGTTGTTTGCAGCTGAGGTTTGAATAATAGGTTCACACACAACAGAAGGACCCATTCATAAGAATGTAGTGCTTGCAGCAAAAGAGACAATAACAAAAACAAAGAGAAACCCCACAGACTGGGAGAACATTTTTGCACACAACACTAATGATAAAGGACTGATCACAAAAATCTACAAAGAGCTGATGAGACTCAACAAAAACAAAGAAAATAATCCAGTCAAAAAATGGGCAGAAGAGCTAAAAAGAAACTTCTCTGAAGACGAAATGCGAATGGCCAACAGGCATATGAAAAAATGTTCAACATCACTTGTCATCAGGGAAATGCAAATCAAAACTACCATGAGATACCATCTCACACCAGTGAGAATGGCACATATTAAAAAAACGAACAACAACAAAAGTTGGCGAGGTTGTGGAGAAAAAGGAACTCTTCTGCACTGCTGGTGGGAGTGCAAACTGGACCAACCACTATGGAGAGCTGTGTGGAGATTTCTGGACCTACTAAACATAGAGCTTCCATAGGATCCAGCAATTCCACTCCTAGGTATTTACCCAAAGGACACAGAAACATCCATTCCAAAGAGCACCTGCACCCCTGTGTTTATAGCAGCACTGTTTACAATAGCTAAGCTTTGGAAACAACCCAAATGCCCCAAAATAGATGACTGGATCAAGAAGATGTGGTGCATATACACCATGGAATATTACTCAGCATACAAAAAAGATAAACACATGCAATTTGCAGCAACATGGATGGCGCTGGAAGGGATCATGCTCAGCGAAATAAGCCAGAAAGAAAAAGAAAAATACCGGATGGTCTCACTCATAGCAGGAATCTAGAAAATCTAAATAAGGGACCAGGAAAAAGAATAACTATAAGAAAGTAAAAATCAAAATCAACAAAATGAACCAGAGACACTCTATGGGGTGTAGGGGGCGGGGAAGGGAGGGATTGGGTCAAGATAAGGGGGTCACAATTGTATGGGGAATATAAAAATAAAAATTATATATATATAAAAGAATGTAGTGCTTGGTGTTATTTTGCAGCGCAGTGCACACCTCCCCTTTCCCTGCCTGCAGCCTGAGCCCCACTAGAGATCGGCAGCAAACCCATTGCAGAGCACTGACCACTTCATGAGCACCCCGAACTGCACAAAAACCTGGGTGACATTTCAACGTTAGAAGTTTTGTTTTTCACTTTGGGGCCAGGTCAAATTTTGCAGCAGGTTGTCCTCTTGGGTTGTCTGAAGGAGAAGGAAGGAATGTAAAGGTGAGCTGTCCTCTTGTCCAAGGAACTCTCTCCCTCTTCGTGTGCGTGTTTGGGGCACGTGGGAGACTGGCCATTTCAGTGCCAACAGCCGCCATCTACGAGGTGACCACTTTACATGGACTGGACTCCAGGCTCAGCGTTTTGCACGCACAAGCACAAGTGGGGCGTTCTGGGCTCAGCTTCAGATCACTACTGTAAAGGGACTATTGCAACAAAGCAAAAAGCAAATTACAGTTTTTTGTGTGTGATCCAAATGCATATAAAATTTATGTGTACACTGTTCATGCAGTCTATTATGTATATTATAGCATGTATCTAAAAATAACCATATCTTCATTATAAATACTTTACTCCTGAAATAGTCTAGCTATCTCCCAAGACTTCTGTAAGGAATCTCCCTCCCTCCCTTGCCACAAGCCTCTGGGTCAGGTTGCTGCTGGGAAGGAAGAATGTCCCGAAGCCACAGTGCAGCAGGTGGGAGAGCAGCAGGCAGCCCAGGGCAGAGATGCCTGGTCCCCGAGCTCCCAGGAGGAAGCAGGCACAGTGCCCTCCACCCACACGGCCTCAGGGCAGGAACCACAGCAGCACCAGCTTCATCCCAGGCCAAGGGCTGTGCGGGTATCATTTCTGCTGCTCTGCACACTAGTCTGGAATGGGGGAGAAAGTCAGCTCCTTCTTGGCTGGTCTGCTGGGGCCTGAGCCAGAGCTAGGTGGGTTCCTTCCCCAATCCCTCCCACCTCCTGCATGCGGGGACCCTGGTCTCAGCAACTCCCCCGTGATCACTGCCACCTCCCGGTCACCATCTTTCACCATCATTGTCATCCACTCTGAAAGTGCCTTGCTGCCACCTTTGCCAGCACCACACCATATTGAGGACTGTGGACATCTCTGTGGTGAGGACAGACTCACCAGCACCCAGGGCAGCTCAGCCCCGTCTACCATGTAGTGTAGCCAACATGTGCAGCCCTGGCCTGGTGGACACCTGAGAGACCCTGACCCCAGCAGAGGGGGTAGATCATTCTAGGAAGGGAATTCAAGGACCTGACAGAGAACAGCTCTCAGTGCTGGTGAAATGTTACAAAACCTTCAGGACCATTTAGAAAATGCCATTACCCAGGCTTCTCCCAACCAATTGAATCAGAATCTGGAGTTTGAGACACTGAAGTCTCCAGCCAAGTGGATAACCTGGTCTTCTTTTCTAATCAGCCTGGAAATTCTCTACTAAGAATTTTAAGGTATAGAAATCTGAACTGTCGACTTGTTGTGTTTAGGGTAAAATAACACATTTTAACTATACACATATGATTTTTTTCAAGCAAAATATATATTGCTTGTAATGAAAGTTAAATGTTGCTGAAGATTTAACTATATCAAATAGACATCTGGGTGGCTTGACCCAGACCTTCCCCAGAGTGGATGTTAACCCGCACAAGAACCCCAGGTGCCAAGGCAAGACCCAGCAAATACAGCAAAGCTGGCTCTGGCTAAAGGCTCACACGATTTTTAATTAAGATGCATATTATTTTTATTTTGTTTTGTTTTTATTTTAAAGATTTATTTATTTATTTATTTATTTATATAAGCACTGGGTACAGTCAGAAGAGCGGGAGGGTGAGAGAATTCACCAGAGTCAGAGCGGAGAGCAGAACAGGCAGACTGACAAAATACACTGCTGAGGGGAGCAGCGGGCAGCAGGAGAGGTCTGCGCGCCAGATGGGACCCTCGCCCGGCGGCTGG